GTAGGTTAGGTTCTAATTCTAATCCCTTCTAAGTAATGTCTTATAAAAGAAGATAGACACAAAAACACAGTCATACGCAGGAGAAAGATACCAGGTGAAGATACATCTACCAGGAGGAAAGGAACGCCAAGGATTGCCAGCAGCCATTGGAAGCTAGAAGAGAGTCATGGAAAAGTTTCCTGCTCTGAACTCTCAGAAGGATCTGTATGGCCGAGACTCTGATTTGGACTTCCAGCCTCCAGAATTGTGAGAAAATAAATTTTTGTTCTTTAAAGCCACCCAATTTGTGGTATTTTGTTATGGCAGTCCTAGGAAACTAAGACATAAGGTAAGGCACATCTTATGGTTCCCTCTTTCAAAAACAGAATCTAAAGCTCATTAGAATTTCCATGCTGTAGCAGATATCTATTGTTTTGGCCTGGAAAACATTCAGACAACCCTCTCTAAGTCAGTACCTGGTCTTCTTCCAGGAAACTGGATATTTCATATAAAGATAAGGGTACAGTATGTGTCTTTCTGTGTCTAGATTACTTCACTTAACATAGTGCTTTTGAGGTCCATCTATGTTGTAGCATATATCGGTACTTCATTCCTTTTTACATTGTTAAAGCATTATAAAAAGTAAAAATCAAAGAAAAATATGTGACAGAGACTTTCTGTGGTTAAGCAATTTCTAAAACAATTACTATCTGGCCCGTTTCAGGAAAAGTTTGCCAATCCCTACCAGGGGCAGATAATCCAATAGGCAAGGTAAACATGGTGCTTACCTTGCTTACCAGATCATCTGTAGTGAACAATTTCACATTTTTTCACCACATCAAAGATTCTGCTTTTAGGTATGGTTGGCATCTGTCTCTTTCCCAAGCCCACAGCAGCTGCCTACGGAATCAAAGCCTTTTTTCAAATTTACAATCCCTAACAGGGATGGATTACTCAGTAAGCAAGGTAAGAATGGGCTTACTTGTGTTTATTTACTAATCTGTAGTGACCAATTTCACATGCTCAAAGATGTGGTGAAATTGGTCACTACCATGTGAAATCTGTCACTACAGATTAATAAGTAAGCACAAGTAAATCTATGCTTAATTTGCTTACTGGGTAGTATGCCCCCTGACTATCTTAGCCTGAATCTAGCCTGGCCCAAGGTCATCCATAGCAATTTATTTGGTGCTAATATATACATGTAGACGCGCACAACATATATGCAAACATATATATGTTGGGCAATACATTTGCACCTCAAACATGTCTGTTTCAGCTTTCCTAATTTTATTTAGTTTATTTTCAATTTGTAAACAAAATAAAACATAATCACCCAATGTCTCTATTACTTTGGTTAGCACTGATTAACAATAAGATGTACAATTTCTGGAATTAAAAGGTCATTGATAAGATAGGTAGCAGAGCAATGAATCTGTTTCCTTTTTAAATGACCTCCACTCCTATGGCTGCAGTGATTTGGCAAAATGTCAAGACATGTTCAAAATGAACAGGCTTGGAGAAAACATGCGGTTCTATTTCTGGTTCCCAAGATGCTGATTGATGTGCAAGGGATTGATTGAGGAAGTGGGGAAAGAGATAAGAGAAAGGGGGAAGTAGGGTACAGAAGGGAAGAAGTTAAGCAACATGCAACCCCAGACAGAGTCCCAAAGAGAGTGATTACAACCTGAGCCTGCTGGGGAGCTCTGGAGGGTAAGTGATAACTCAGAGTTGTGCGCATTTGATGCAAAGGACTAAGAGCTTTCACATCTCCACAGCTGCCAGTCTCCAAACCAAATCCATTACCACTGAGTCAGTTCTGACTCATTGGAAACCCTATGTGTTTCAGAGTAGAACTGCTCCATAGGGTTTTCTTGGCTATAATCTTTAGGAAGAAGATTGCCAGGCCTTTCTTCCATGGTGCCACTGGGTGGGTTCAAAGAGCTAACATTTAGGTTAGCAGTTGAGTGCAAACCATTTGTGCCACTCAGGGACCTGGTATAACCTTGAAGGGGGTACAAACTCTAGGTGCAGGCAAAGGACCTCAGTAGCCCTAGGGCAGACTTCTGAAAGAGCCATGTTGTTGTTGTTGGGTACCCTTGAGTCAGTTCTGACTCACAGCAACCCTGTGTACAACAGAATGAAACACTGCTCGGTCCTGTGCCATCTTCACAATGGTTGCTATGTTTAAGCCCATGAAATAGCCACAGACTGTTAGAAGCATAGGCACATTGAAGGAGGGAAATGCAAAAGATAGTAAAAAAGGAAGACAAAAATGTCTTGGCAGAGCTCCAGTGTTACCTACTACATTCACCATACTTTTCCACCACCAGTGACTTTGGGCAGGTGTTTATAAATTCATACTTGAAATAAGGAGATTCCTAGGTGTATATCCTAGAGAAATAAGAGCTGTGACACAAATAGACCCCCATGTTCATTGCAGCATTACTTACAATAGCAAAAAGATGGGAACGGCCTAAGTGCCCATCAGTGGATGAATAGATAAACAAACTGTGGTACATACACACAATGGAATACTACGAAACATTAAAGAATAAGGATGAACCTGTGAAACATCTCTCAACATGAATGAACTTCAGGACATTATGCTGAGTGAAACAAGTCAATCAAAAAGGACAAATATTGTATGAGACAACTATTATAGAAAGTCAAGAAAACGTTTTCACACAGACAGAAACATTCTTTGATGGTTACCAGGGATGGGAGGTGGGGAGGGAAAATCACTATATAGTAGACACATACTGACTTTGGTTTAGGGAGAGATAATACACAATATGGGGGAAGTCAGCACAACATAATCAAGGTAAAGGAAGACACTGAAAGGCAGGTAAGAGTAAAAGGCAACAAGGTAAACCCTAATACATATACAATCCTGCAACAACAGTAGTAACGAACAATAATGTATGAGTGGATACATAGGTAGATATGTAAGCTGAACGGGGTGAGGGGTATAGAAGTACACCCACACACATATATATATATGTGTGTGTGTGTACATGCTGCAAATACACCCATGTACACAATAGTGTGCACAGGGGACACAGTCATGAAAACTCCTTAGCCATAATCATACACCTTCTGGGACTGAGCTACAAGGCTTGATGGCTAGGGACCATAGTCTCAAGGGACATCTAGGTCAATTGGCATATCATAATCCATACAGTGTTCTACATCCTACCTTGGTGAGTAGCACCTAGGGTCTTAAAAGCTTGGGAGTGGCCATCTAAGGTACAATAATTAGTCTCTTCCCATCAAAAGCAAAGCTGAGTGAAGAAAACCAAAGGCTCAAGGAAACAAGTAATCCAAAGGACTAATGGACCACATGAACTATGGTCTCCACTAGCCTGAGACCAGAAGAACTAGATGGTGCCTGGCTACCAATACTGACTACTCTGACCGGGACCACAACAGTAGATCAAGGACAGAGTGGGAGAGAAATGTAGAACAAAATTCAAACTCACAGATAAAACCAGGCTTACTGATCTAATAGAGGCTGGTGGAACCTCCGAGACTATGGCCCTTAGACATTCTTCAAACTTGGAACTGAAATCACTCCTGGAGATTACATTCTAGCCATACAATAGACAGGCCTATAAAATGAACAATAACACCAGTGAGGAATGTATACATCAGAAAAATCAACTATACCAGACCTAAAGGGCAGCATTTACCCAAAACCAAAGTTCAGAAGGAACTGGAAACAGAAGGGGCAGAAAAGCTGGAAAAATGAACACAGGGAACGCAGGGAGGAAGAGGGGAGAGTGCTGACACATTTAGGGATTTGCAACCAATGTCACGAAACAAGCTGAGTATAAATGGTCGATTGAGAAATTAATTTGCCCTGTAAACTTTCCCTAGACCACAATAAAGTGTTTAAAAAAAAAAACAAAGAATAAGGAGGGAGAATATACTCAGACTTTTTAACCATTGTTCTTAATTTTCTGCAATCGACTTAATAGCTAATCTTCCTCAATACTAAAAAGTCTATATTCTAAATTAACTAAAATTACCACTGACAGTTGGGCTCTAGAAATTCAATAAAATTCTATGGCAAAAAGCCAGATTCTTCTATGCCTTGCTCCTCTGGCTGCTTATGTCAAGGATTTTGAAAAGCTATATAAAATGCTTCAGGTTCCTTGACTTCAATTCACAAAATGCCTTGGAGACCTTAGAAGGTTCACACCTAACTTATGAACAAAGAATATTTTTATGCTACCTTAAGCTTCAATTCCTTTGTAGCTATGAAAAGCACATATTGTAGGTTTTTGTAATTCATAAGGAGCCCTGGTGATGCAACGGTTAAGCACTTGGCTGATAACCAAAAGATTAGTGGTTCGAACACACCCAGTGGCTCTGTAGGAGAAAGACCTTGTGATCTGCTCTGTAAAGATTACAGCCTAGAAAACCCTATGGGGCAGTTACTCTGTTACATGGGGTAACTATGAGCCAAAATTGACCAAATGGTACGTAACAACAACAACACGTATTCCTAATACATTGTACAGCAGTATGTACCAAAAAATATGAGCATTATTTTAAATCTATGGTCATGTTTAATAATGATCTGAAGGTAGCACATATACACACAGAAACACACACACTTATATTTTCTCAGAACATTACATAAAGTAATTGCCCTGTTACATCAACATATCTTTTGTCAATGATGTCTATTTATCAGTACTTAAAATCATTCACAATCAATGACTTTTGTTTGCTGAGTAATTTATCTCACCTCTCTCAGCTCTCTCAAGCATAACATTTTAAAAATTAGCTGTATCTTTAATTTACTGAAAACTTTTCTGACATCAGCATAGACTTCTGCTACTGAAATAATGTCTAAGAGATTTTCCATCCTTTTTAAAGCTTTGTTACAGAGCTTGGAATCATTTTACCAACAATCTAAAAATATGACAGAGCTGATGAAAATGATAACAGATTACTAGGAGCATCTCTGACAAGTCAGTGGCCATTTTTCTCTCTTGCCCGAGAATACATACTTTCTGTTTGAGGTAACAGCCAGTTTTCAATCATTGCATTCCACTGCCAAAAGAAGGAGGCACAGCCATGGGGGTCCGGAAAAGGAGAGGGAGAAGAGAGATATTCATTAGTCTTCTTCTGAAAAGCTTTTCTCTAGATAAATCTTGTTTGAATGAAAACAGGCAAGTAGACATTGTTAATCTCTGATTCCTGAAAATGGAGAGAGGAAAGACATTCGCAGGGATACGGGTAAGCACCAAATTAGAATCTCAAATGCCACTCACTCACCATGCTTGCGCCAGACAGTTAAGCTGCTGTTACTCACGGAATGCCGAAGTTGAGGTCTGAGGAGCCTCGCGTTGAAAACAAACACCCCGGAATCAATTAACCACCTTTCTGAAACTTCCGCAGGATTTTCAAGAGGAATCTTCATCCAGAAATAAAAGAAAATATTATCTATCTCTCCCCTTTGTTACTTTGTCTCTCTCAAACACATTCACGAATTTTCTTCATGTCAATATCATAGTACTATTACAAGACAAATCTGCTATCACAGCACTTCAGCTTCTGGTGAATTGATAGGTATTCCTCGCTCATTGGAAGCAAAAAAAATCTTTTTAATGAAAAGGGCTGTGTTCTAGGAAACATTCATGCCAGCTATCCTCTCCTCCGTGGACAAGTCAGTTTTCCAGGCTTCCTGCTTCCTTTATCCCTCATTAACGCCTCCCTTTTAACTCCCTCTCTCCCACTGAGAAAACCCCCACAGCATCTTCAGCATTCAGGAGAAATTTTAAACATTCTTCTTACTTCTCTGTTTTATGTATATTTCTCCCTCTGGTTTCCAAACAAGGTCTCTGGCCAGAGCAGTGTGTCCACTGGGTTTAGGTACTGTTTCCTGGTGTGATCCACACAGTGACAAGCAGTTTGTAATTGCACTGCAGCATTTGAGGAGCTGCTCTGAATTGATAGATTGAGCGCATGCTGAATTGATTAATCCATCACTGAGAGGCTTGCATTCATTGTCAGGCTCTGGAGACATTATAATGTGCTCCTCAAGCTCCAAGCTGTCAGGCTGCTCTTATGAGCATCCTCTGAAATCACATCCACCGAGAAAATAATTTGTCAGCCAAATTGTGGCAGAATGCAAACCTCGGAAGAACGCAGCTGGTTGACCACTGGGTCAATGCCAGGAGCTGGAAACTCAATCAGATTTCAGGGTCTGACTATAGGTCTGCTCTGTGAGATAAAGATCTTTGCAAAGTAAATCATCTTGGATTGATGCAAATGCTGCTATCCACTATGACAGTCTTACTTTAGCCATGAAAATGTACTTAATTCTTGTTATTCATTTCAGAGAATCCTGCTGTTCTTTCTAGGGTGGACCCTAAACAATAAAAAACATAAAAACAGTTTTGGGGAGGTACATTTAGGACATTGTGCATTTGTACCTTAAATCATTGTTTCGTTGGCCAATAAATGTCAAAATGCTACCTAACCAAAAAACCAAACCCATTGCCTTCAAGTCAATTTTGACTCATAGCGACCCTGTAGGACAGAGTAGAACTGCCCCATAGTTTCCAAGAAGCAACTGGTGGATTTGAACTGCTGGTCTTTTGGTTAGCAGCCTTAGCACTTAATCACTACGCCACCAGGATTTCCCGGTGCTATCTAGATCAGTTGATTTAGTCTTAGAGAAAAATTAATGTGTAGTATGTTTCATGGAGAGAGGTGTATGTGTGTGCATGTGTGCATGTGTGTGTGTATTTGCTTCTTAAGCTCAATCTATCACAAAGCATGTCCCAGTCCTTTCATAACTACTAAATGCTAAATCTAGCACTATAATCCTTTCTTTTCTAAAAGTAACCACGACAAAACACCGCCTAATATATTTTTAGTAATTTCATTTTGCTTAACAAATGCTAAATGATTTTATCATCAATAGGATAATGTATATAAATTGCAGGTTATTAATCATTTCAATCAACATTCTTTAAGACCAACAGAGGTAATTACAGGTTAGTTTTGACTGATGCTTTCCTTTGTTTACATGGTGTTATAAGCCGTGTAATGGGGGATAATATTTGTCAATGTGCTATTTAAGTTTAAATGATATTTAGCACCCTAAATCTATATGAAGTTCCAGATTCTTGATGTGATAAACGCTTCCCTATGCATGCAGAGAACTAAGTGAGACTAACTACAAAACTCCATTATTTAACTATCACCAATTTGTTAAGAATCCACATATATAAAAAGATTAAATGACTACAACATTTGCTTACCAGTTGGTATGTTGTGTACCTTGAAGTCCATTCCAACTCATAACGACCCTATAAGACAGAGTAGAACTGCGCCATAGGGTTTCCAAGGCTGTAATATTTACAGAAGCAGACTGCCACATCTTTCTCCAGTGGAGTGGCTAATGGGTTCCAATCAGGGCCGGATTACCCAATAAGCAAGTTACTCAAAGCCCGGTTGTGCCTTCCCACCAATCTACAGTGGGAAATTTTACCTGTCCTCCACAACGGCAAATGTGGTGAAACTCATGTGAAATTGCTTACCACACATTAGCAAGTAAATACAATTAAGCCGGTGAGTACCTTGCTCAATGCAAGCTGGTGCATACCATGGTGCTTACTTGCTTATCCACTCCTGGTTCCAGTCGCAGACCTTTTGGTTAGCATTGGAGCGCTTAACTACTGTGCCACCAGGGCTGCTTCCAGTTTGTATCCAAAAACCAAAAAAACCAAACCCGGTGCCTCTGAGTCGGTCCCGACTCCCAGCGACCCTATAGGACAGAGTAGAACTGAACTGCCCCATAGGGTTTCGAGGAGCGGCTGCTGGCTTTAAACTGCCGACCTTTTGGTTAGCAGCCAAATTCTTAACCACTGTGCAACCAGAGCTAAACTAGATTCTTACATTACTCTGAAAAGGACTTTACAGTGTCAAAAATTTATTAATATTAAAACAAATGCATTGAATCTTCAATGACCAAAATGAACTGGGACAAATACATTCTGCGGATTCCACTTACATAATGAAGTAAGTTTTGAATAAAAATATTTCGCTTAAATCCGGATGCCAGTTTTAACCCTGTTCAAGCATTCATGAATAGGTTTTATTAATTGCCACTGTCACTGTATTTTCAAAATGATTTCTCCTAGCCTCTGTCAAAGTATCCACAGCTGTGATCATGCCCTCCTCGCCCTTAACTACATTCCTTTCATAACTACTAAATGTCTCTCATTAATTTACTTCAGGACATTCATAAACAATCAATATAGAAGCACAAGCAAAATTTAGTGCACATGGCATTTCAATAGACTGTGTCCAACCTTGGTTTCTTTCCTTTACTGTTCTTGAGCTTCCTGCTTATCAAACTAAATTATAAAGTGAAAGCACTCTTGTAGCAATGATGGGAGTAAACGGAAATGGGGCCATCTACCAGCTGCAGATTACCTGTTGTGTTTCTTTACTGTTCTTGAACTTCCTGCTTATTAAAGGGGCTTTCATGGAAGATTTGCTGCCTCACTTAATGTATGTAATAAGGAAGCCTCAGCAGGGAAGTAAGCTGATCGGCCGCTCATTAGTCCCACGTGGCAAAGTCCCGTCCCCTCTGCAGAACTTAAGTTCATCACCTCTCAAGTTACGAAGTTCTGTCGTCTCCAAAATCTTCGTGAATGGGAATCATCTGCTGAAATCAGGTCCATTTTGCAGTCATGCTGTCTTCAGTGTGACCGCTAGAGGGCGAGCCTTCCTAATTTTAAAAGGATCTTATTCTATGAAAAAGGACTGATTCCAGAATTCAAAGTAATCTCTTGTGAAGACTATGAGGGGGAAAACTATCAATGCTGCTTCCAAAATAACTGTGAGACATCAACCACCCCAGTCTTCATTTTTCACATTGTACCTTTTATTTATTTATTTTTTCATTCCTTCATTCATGAAATGTTGACCCACCTTAACGATGTTGATGTCAAAAAAAGTTATCCCTAAAAGCCTCTTCCAGTTAGGTTAAGTCCTGCCATCTTTCTTGTGTGATTTTGTTTCTTTGCACCAAAATAGTAAAAACTGCTATATATCAACATATTGATGCACCATATGTCCCACACCTTTAGTTTCCTCTTCTTGGATTTTGTTTGTTTTTGTCTCTGTTTTTAGGAGCGGAGGAAGTACAGAGGTGTTTTACCACGATCGAACAAAACAACACCAAAAAGACTACTAGTGAGAAATATGCCATCTAATAAATTATAAATATAGCCATATATCGTGGACTCATACAACATAAAAAAAAAAAAAAAACCATTGCTGTCAATTCCAACTCATAGCCACCTTATAGAACAGAGTAGATACTGCCCCATAGAGTTTCCAAGGAGTGGCTGGTGGATTCAAACTGCCAACTTTTTGGTTAACAGTTGAGTCCTTAACCACTGTGCCATGAGGGCTCCACAATAAGTAATACCTGTCCTTTACAAGTTAAGGTTTCCAAAAATTAAATAATTTTGCAAAGTTCACCTTGTTTTCAGTAGCAGAGCCAGAATTCAGTCTCACAGTGTTCAAAATCCTTATCTTATGTTTGCTCACCAATGCACTTCCATTCCGTAACTCTGCCACTAGGCCCCCTGCAAAAATAAGAACTAATATTTATTGAGCCATTTCTATGTGCCAATCACCGGCACTTTACCTGAATTACATCATTTAACCCTTACAACAATCAAAGATGTGTTACTATACACTTTACAAAAAGGGAAACTGAGGCTCAGAGAAATTAAGTAACTTGCTGAATTACTTTTAACAAATTATCTAACTTCCCAGGGCCTCAGTTTGCTCATTTGAAAAATGGACAATAATACAAAGTTCACGGGTGAGGATTAAATAAATCTCTCTGTATGAAGTGCTCACAACATCCAATAAGCATTCAATAAATGCAAATTCTTACTATTTCTGTTTCAGGTCAAAGAAGAGAGAGGTTCAATAATGGAAACCATGAGAGAGGATCACCAACTTGAAAAAAAAAAATTAAAGGATACATATATCAATTAAGCTTAACAAATAAACCCATGCCGTTGCCTTTGAGTTGATTCCAACTCATGGCGACCCTATGTGTTACAGAGTAGAACAACTCCATGGGATTTTCTTGGCTATAATCTTTATGGAAGCAGATCTCCAGGTATTACTCCCACAGAGCCACTGAGTGGGTTCAAACTTCCAGCCTTTAGGTTAGCAGCCAATTGCAAACTATTTGCACCACCCAGGGACCTAAGCTTAACAAATAAAACTTTTTTTTAAAGATCACATGTAAATATTCTAGTTCTGGTTCTGCTTTCTGTTTGGTTCCTTTGGATAATAAGACTTCTTCCATGGGTGTACAATTGGATTGTTTTTAGACAACGAGAAAAGTCTACCTAGTTTAACAGGGCATGTCCAGGTTTCACTCAAAATGTCAGACCCCACCCCTGTCCCTTTGCAGTGAAACTAAAACGTCTTACTTCTTTCAGAATACTTCAAAGATCAAAGTCCTCCTTTCAGAAAAAGAAAGAAATCTATCACAGCCATCTCAGTTCCTTTCTATTAGATGTTTTAGGAAATTTAATATTTCATCTCAATATCCTAAGCTCTCCAGCAATTTTATGTTTTCGGTCTGCACTTTAGAATAGAGCTTCTCCTTTGGAATTAATGACCTGCACCTTCAGGGGTAACCAACCAGTTGCCGTTGAGTTGACTCTGACTCATGTCAACCCCATGTGTGTCAGAGTAGAACTGTGCTTGATAGGATTATCAATGGCTGATTTTTTTTGGAAGTAGATTGTCAGGGCTTTCTTCTGAGGCATCTCTGGGTGGAGGCACCAACCTTTTGGTTAATAGCCAAGCATGTTAACGATTTGCATCACGCAGGAATACCTCCTAGTAATCATAATACTTAACATGAGCAACGAGTCCACAGCACAGTATTGCATGAACTCCTCAGTCTGTATTTACTTGCCTTTTAATTTCCCTGATACTTAAAGCATCTATCAGTAAAGCAAGATGTCAAAGGAGATATACTGTACCA